TATTGTTCAACATATTTTTATTTAAAATATATTTTTTGTTGCACTCCGCAACAAGATTCTTTTAAATATTTTCCATACCAACTGTTAATGCTGTTTAGTAATTTTAAAAATAAAATAAAATTTGAATAGTAAGGAGAACCAAAAAAATTAATGTTACGAAAAAAAAAAAAAAAAAAAAAAAAAGGAAAAAGCTATAATCTCAACGTTTCATTGTAATACTCCTCGTCCTACGGTAAAAATTTGTAATATTACAAATGTCCTATTGTTTTAGATCCGGCCGCGTGAGATATCCGGTAAGATGAAAAAGAAAAGGCTTTTCCATTAAACGTTTTTAATTTCCGGACTCAATGCCGCATTAATTGCCTCTCCCGTAGCGAAAATCGCCATCACCATCATTCGTATAATGACATGGCCGTTGTCTTTAACTTTTTAAAACAAGCAAGCATGATAAACAACTTTGCTCATTAAAACTTGCGAGAAAACTTTTTCAGCAAACTCAATATTTGTCAATATAGGGTTGTATGGAAAAGGAACAGCAGGTACAACAATTCCATAAGTTCCTCACACCCTTTTTAAAGAGGTGTACCCAAAAAACGGAGAAGGGGTCGGATCATGTCCAGACTTGTGAATGGTCGCAGCTAGAAAATTATCGGTATACATATTATTTCACGTTTAATAATCGATCGAATTATTCATTAGAATTCGGTACTCATTATTATGTTCCTTCTTATACCCATCAAACGTAATTTTTAAACAAACTATTGGACAGGACACTACTATGTTCATATCACGATATCTTTGACATCCTATCCAGCAACTTCAAACGGGATAGAAGAAAATCGGCCACGATGATCTATGAAATCTAAACATATTCACTTTGGTCATCCGCAGAAATATTATTTAACCGCCCCCTTAACGACAATGATAATTTAGATAATCGGTGGCAGGGTACAACTTATGTAAGGGCCCTCCCCCACGAATTGACGGACGAGGCACGACAGGCCGTTACCTTTTTGAGGAAAACCCGGTTACACGTGCCGGCCGTCGTTTTGCAGTGCATGTGCTTGAACGGCGGGTTGCCTCTGTCCACGTCGCGTTCGAAACTGATGGCGCGCGCGCCGTTCAAGTAAGACGTGGCGTTCAACGGCCTCGGGTGGTGCGACGATTTCCTTCTGGCCATCTCGTTGTCGCTGACCGATCTCCTGTCGTCGTCGTCGCAGTTGTCGTCGCAACCGCCGCCGCAAAATTCACCGCCGTCGCAACATCCCCCGTAACCGTAATAACCACCACCGCAGATGCCACTCTCTCTGTTGCAATATTCACCGTCACTCCTGCCGTCGGTACTGCTGCTGCTGCTACTACTGCTGCTGCTGCTGCTGCTGCTGCTGCTGCTGTTACTGCTGCTGCTGCTGTTGCTGCTGGCGGTGTTGCTGCTCACGGTGCAACCATGATCACGACCGGCGCTCAGAGCGCAGCCGATGAACGTGAACAACTGCTGCACGTGCTTGTCGAACTGGTCGGGCAGGCTGGTAACGCTGGCACTGTTCGTCGAACGCGCCTCACCAACGGTGTCTCGCAACACGTCCGTTTCGAAGTGTACCGTCTTGGTATGACGCGTCGGCTTTTTCAGCGGCCGTCGTTGCTGTAGCAGCAGATTCTGGTACTGTTGCTGTTGGTGCTGCTGGTGCTGTTGCTGCTGCTGTTGGTGCTGGTGGTGCCGGTGGTACTGATCAGAGTTCGTGCCGGCCGCTGCGGTGGCGACGTCCGGTTTCGGCCGGTTCGTTTCGACCATTTTCATTGGCGAACAGTGCGACTGCCGTTATTCCGCCGCCGCCACCGCAATGCGGCAGTGATGCACGCGCGCCGTTGCCAATCGACGTTTGGCATGCGCCGAGCTACGTCGTCGGATGCACCGCAAACAATAACACCACATCGACGCCTCCTCGTCGTCCATTTACCCTCTACGGCCGCTGTCCGCAATGTACCGAACAAATCACCCGGTCGCAGTTCACGGCCGCAACGGATGTCGTCGTCGTATTTGCAAAAACGGTGGCAGCGGCGGCGGCGGTGGACAATGACCCAGTTGGACGTGTGCGATGGCGACACAATGCACGGCGCTTACACGAAGAATACGTACTACCGACGCGGTCGTAGCCACCGGCTGTTCGATACCGGATCGCTACCCGGAGCGCGTTACGTGCGTGGTCGTAAACGCTAATGCGGTTCCGTTAGCTCGGACTGCTGTCCGTGATGATCATCACGGGTCTCAATCGGCGGCGGCCAAACGGATGTATCGCGTTCGCGGCTGCGACGGTAATGCGACTTGTGACGGTAACGAGAGCGGTGTACTGCGAAGCGAGCGACGCGATCGTTCAGCTTCCATTTGCGGACTAGCGGACGGGGGTGGCAGTATCACGAGGGCGTATTTCAGCGTTCACAGCGTCCCAGCGCCCGAACGGCGCCCTCTGGTGTAATACATCAAAAGAAAATAGCTCGACTGGAAATGTGTATTGAATCCGTACATGCGTTTGCCGAGGGGAAAATAAATGTGTGATGGTGTATATGCTTGTGTGTGTGTGTGTGCGTACAATAATATAACGAGAAAAGGTTCTCGGATATCGACATTAGTGTCGATTATTAGTAATCGTGCACACGGAAAAAAGAAAAAAATTAAAAGGAAATGGGAAAATAATATAAATTATTATCGAAAAAGTTTATTTATTTATTTATTTACTTTTTTTTTTTTTTAAGAAATCCAACTCTTCTTTTTGTGTGCGTATCGATAAGAAAAAAAGCTGAATTAATGTGCAATTTTATTTTCACGTGTTTTTGAAGTTGTTTTAAGAAAATAAAATCCCTATCACTTTGATATTTGTCTTTCGGTAAAACATTGTTCAACGATAGAAAGTATGTAAACACATAATCGCGTGTTACTATCGAACGTCTTCTTAAAAATGCATATTTTAAGTATATTCCACGGCACATATTGTATTTTTTTTTGTTTAGAGTTCAGTTTGTTCGCGTACATTTAAAATTCCAAAACGGGATTTTTAAAACATTGAACACACCGGGTTACCCTTTTGCATACTATATGTACTCGCATATATTTTTCGAAAAAATTATGCATGAGATATATTTTTTTCTTTTTTTTTCCCATCACCTCAAAAGAATATATTATTTTACAGTTTTTTTTTTGTATCATAGTAATTGAACACTATTAATAAATACCAACTCACGTGTTTTTTATTTTATTTAGGATGCCTACCTACAAGTATTAAACACATGCGTTCGGAATCAAAACTGACAGTGTGAATTTATTATCACTCATTAAAGTAAATGAGAATACTTGATATTTATGGTTAACTACGGTATTAATAAAAATAATATAAAATAACCAGCTCCACATTTTTTTTTTTCTATAGTTATAAACACGCAAATGTTATAGCTGTCGACATTTTTATAATACTTTTAATGTAACTTTATAGGATAAACCACCGTAATTAATAATAACATTTATACATTTCATAACTTAAAATGTACAGCAAGTTCAATTTAAATTATTCAAAGTATAATTTTGATGAACTTATTTTCTTACAATTATCACCTACTGGTAGTTTTTATTAAAAGTATCTTATTTTGTTCTCAATATAATGAAGTATTATGCTTATTTAAAACTATAAACAATTATTTAACTTAAGATTTAATTAGTGTAGTTGTAATGTATATATTTTTATCAATTTGAAAAATAAAATCGTAAATAAATATTGTACAACGTATGTGATTTAATTATTTAGCTTCGTATTTATACGTAATATATGATTATTTGATTAATAAACGTATCTATCATTATAAAAAAAATATCATACCACATCATAAACGTTACAATTCTGTTATAAGTTTATTTCATATAATATTTATTTTCTAAATTTTGATTTAATTATTCCAGAAAATTTTAAAGTTTTATTCGAATATTGTATGTTATGTCACAAAATACAATACTTGTAAACATATGTATCAGGTATCAGACTCCAAGCGTATAGTCAAATAAATAAGATCAATAAGTTACATAATACAGTGTATAGGTTTTAAATAAAATGTATATCCGAAATATTATCATTCTTACGAAGAAGTTCATTTTTTTGGTTTTATTAATTTTATGAGCTACAAATGTATATACTTTATTATAACTTGAAATTATTCAATTAGCGGTTTGTTTTAAATCTAAATTTATATTGACTTAGGACTATTTTATTTTAAAACCAATATACCATGAATAATTAATTAAACTTATATGTCTATGAAGTTAATTTGCACACAGCAACTTGTTAGTGTACACGCTAAGAAAAATAAAATAGAATTAATGAGATATGGTAGAGTCAAATCTTTATGACGAATATTGAACTTACTGGAAGCACAAATTATCAAGTCTGTTTAAATAATATTAGATACATTCCCTTTAAAATTATTATTCGAGAATAATATATAATTTTATCTAAAAGTATATTTTAATAACTATAATTTTTAAAAAAATTGACCAAGCTCTTATTTTATAAACTATTTTACACTTTTTGTGAACTTGAAAATATCTTTGGATCACTATAATCAGTAATTTATTTATAAATTGATTCTGATTGTAAGTGACAGTTTATGATTAAATTACTATTTAGAATATTTAATATATGATTATACAATTAACAGTAAATTGTTTACCATTTATAATTTAAGTAAATTCACTATACATTAATATGTTTCTATTTTAATATTAATATGTCTCGTGTATTATGTAAATCTACTTCTCATTTTGGTTAACAATAATTCGTAATTAAAATATTATTTACATTCAATATATTATATATATATATATAAACTATTTATGTTTATTAAATACAATAACAATTGTTTTCGATTTAAAATGAAAAGATCGTAGTATATTTGAAACTGTTTACTATAATACTATTGTTTATGCAGCCACTTTTTATTTTAAAGTAAAATTAACTTACCTCCGATGATGTAAGATAGCAAAGACGAGAATCTGTACTTTCAACGGAAGTCTGCTGTGTAATTCCGCTAAAACTATGTCTAGCCTCCCTTTCAGTCATATAATCCATTCTTGCACTATCTTGCCGTTCAAACATCCTATAAAAAATTGATATTATATTCATTATTATAACTGGTTCATGTTTTATTTATTATTTGATGACTCGTGTTAAAAATAAATGTGTAATATAATTAAGGTAACTATAATCCCACCATATTTTTTTCTTTTAAGACCATTACCTCTAAACAAGTTTTTTATAAATACATTAATATAAAAAAACTCCATTATTAATGTTTTCTATTAATATAAATAGTACACAATAACATTTAAAAATTAAATTAGAAAGTATTATGATCGTAAATTATTTATATTCAATGTAAACATATAAAAAACCTAAACTATTCAATAATTTAAAATCTCAGTATAATCAATAAAATTTCATAAAAATTGTAAAATGATTTTCTCTTTTTAATGAAATATTTTAATATTTGTCCATACAAAATTATTTATATTGATTATATTTTTTTAAATTAAACATTTCCTGGATAACATTTTACCCGGAATTATTTTCATAAAATATTTTCCTTTATATTATGTTTTTTGAGAAACACTGAATTTATTTATTTTCATTTTCCTTGACAAGTACTTTCTAGAAAATTTAATATCCAATCAAAGTTATTTTTATTACTTTTTATACTTTTGTTTGCGGAAATTTTCTAAATATGACTTGATTAATACTTATTTTTTTACAACAGAAAAAAATACAATCTAATTTACATCCTAATGTTATTAGAATTTAAACTCGCTTATCAAATATAAATGAATTAATTAAAGAGTATAAAAATACTCTTTAAGTATTGAAATTATTATAAAAATTGTTAATTTGACTACCTTTGTTCGAATGACTCATTTCTATTAGATTTACATCCATTATCTGCTATAAGACTGTTTTCATGCCGAAGTGATGGCAAGGACTCCCAAGCAGATCTTTTGTTGGGCCTTGCTGTTGTTATATGATGATGGACGTGATTTCCATCAAATGAACCGTATGGAACCCCAGTATTCGATGCACTACTTCCCATAGCTGAAGATCCACACCGCCAACCATCGCTATGTCTAAACCATTGAGCTCGAGCAGATTCATTCCAACAGTTCGCACATCTGTTGCTAAAATAACCATACAATATTACAAATGTACCATGGTGAATCATCATGAATGAAGTATGTAAGTTTTTAGATATTCTCATTAATATAAATCCTCTTTTATTTATTATTAAAATTAAATATATAAGTAGTCCAAATATATTTTAATTTAGGGTAAGTAATCATTTTATTTATTGAGGTATTACATAAGTGACTACATAAATAATCTTCTTCTTCTATTTCCCATTTCTACCAACTGTTTTGGGTTAGCCAACTTTATCCTAAACCTCCATTCACCTTGATTTTCTACATTCCCTACGCACATACCAATGGCCCTCATATAATTCTCTATCGTATCCATCTATCTCTTTTTTGATCTTCCTCTTCCTCTTTTCCCTTCAACGTTCATTTTCATAACAACACTTACTGTATTCATTTTCTTTCGTCCATCTTATGTCCAAACCATCTTAGTCCATTTTATCTCATCTTCTCCAATATAGACGTCATACTAATACTACCTCTCATATAGTCATCCCTTATTCTATCTTCTCTTGACACTCCATTCATCCATCTAAGCATTTTCATTTCCGCAACGCTCATATTCTGTTTTATTCTCCTGTCAACTGCCCAACACTTTGAACTATTTAGCATAGTTAATCTCACTATACTCCTGGAAAATTTACCTTTTAGCCTCATTGGAATTCTCATATTACATAAAACACCCAACGCTTCTTATTTTTGTTTTGTTTATTTTAGAATAGCCCATTTACATTTTATGTATTCTTTCTTGTCTCAAATATATATCAAATAAAAAGTTTAACTGGTTTCAACTGTTTGTAAAATTCACTTACCATAAATTATCATACATAACCAATATATTCTTTCTCATAAATTTTTACTAACAATCATAGTCATCATAGTCTTTTTCAATTTATTTTTGTTAAGCAAGTGAACTTAATAATATTTAAATAAATATTAACTAAATTTATTGTAAATTTTACGAGGATATTTTCCTCATTGTTCACTGAAAATAGGTTTGGATTTATTTGTATTAAATTTTAAAATTAAAAATAATTTAGTTATATACTTGTATCATATAATATTTTAATTAAAGCTAGTTGAAGAACGCCTTTTGTTTATCTCTTATGACATATTCTTTTTTTTACTTTTCAAAGCCAACAGTAGTCAAAAAGTATCATTAAAAAAAACTTGTTTTATTTACTTGTATTATGTAGAATAAATAGTAATTTAAACAATCAAATAGTTATAATTAATTCTTTATAATAATTCACATTTAAAAAAGTTAGGTGTTAATTTTCATTTTTATTCTAAATACATACAATTTGAAAAACGATTATATGAAATTTAAAATATAATTTAAATAATATTGAAATACAGTAAATTATGAATAGTATATGTATATATTCTACATAAGGCAAGAAATTAAATGTTTTTATTTCACACTGCGAGTTTTTTAGTTTTTTTATGTTTTTAAAGTAATCATAAAAATTGGAATTTAATTTACTTTTATATCATAAGATTAAATAATATAATATTTTTGAAATTTAACTTTTAAAAATTTTCAGAAGTAAAAAAACCATTGCATTATATCTAACCATAAATCTTTTACCTTACTTGAAAATTATAATACACTTTTCTTTTATTATTCAATCAATCATTAAATTATAAATAAATAAGTTACTGAGCTCAAAATAATATTGATGAATTTGATACCACATTAAATACTTTTAAATAGTTAAAACTATATAAATATAATTTTATTTTTTTATTTAAATTATATCAGTGGTTTTTAGTGATATTTTTTGAAAATATTTTTAACTCAATGCTTATTTAAATCCGTCTGACCAGAATACAGAAAATATCGAAATATATATAAGATTTATTGCAAAAAACTGAAATATTTATTTTATCATAATATAACGTATTTAAATAATTACGAAACGGATTAAAATTATGTATATTATGTTATGCACTAAACAACTAACACGATTCTTATTAATGTATACAGTCTATAATATTTAATAATAGCTTGTGTGAACAAAATAATACTTCATGAGTATTTTAGTAAAATTAATTTCGCTATTAAAATGACATGAAGTAATAAACATAGTAATAAGTTAAAATATATTCTATTTTTTTTCCAACACTCAACTGTAAATTAAATCATCAAATTATAAAATTCTAAAACATTATGTTCAAACTGGTGAATAGTTTTCCATCACCTTCATATCATATCAGAGTATATGAAACAGCTTAATCACTATAACTATAAATTACACATATTTGATTTTTTTTAACGAGTACACTTTGTAATATTCAACTAATATTAAATAAATTATATTATAATTTAAGTTTCAAATGAATACAATTTTGAATATGTGTTATGTGTAATACATAACATAAATTAAAATTTAATAAATATTTAAAATTACAATTAAAAATTTTAATGATTTAAAAACTTTTTTTTTAAATTAACTCTTATATTCATATTCTGACTGATTTTATATAGTTAATTAACTAGTTTAAATTTAAAAATGTAAAATATCATATCAAATAATTTATGATTTATTCATCAATGCAATTAATAAAATAATAATAATTAATTACTAATTCTCTCACTATGAATGTTTACTAAAATATTTGAATTAAATTAATAATAAACAATTATTTTTAAAACCAATTGTCTTTTTAGAATTATTATAATTATTCTTGTAGATGCTCAAATTATTTATTTTTGTCATATATTAATAAATAGTGGACACAAATTTAAAATAATTTTTAACTTAAAATGTTACTGATAAGGTTGACTTTTACCTAGAAAGAGCATGATCAGATAAATATCCTCGTTCCCTGTCTCGTTCTCTTGCTGCATCTTGCCTATCACTATAATATCCTTCTTTGGTAGCACTCGACGACCTTTCAATCCGATGTGGAAGTGTAAAAGATCTATTAAAGCTGCCACCCGCACTCATAGGGCCTAAAAATACAATTATATAAATTATTTTAAATATAACTTAAGAAAACAAAACCAAAAAGTATAATTTTATGTACTGACGTCTTCTTGTTGGATACGGACTTCTTGAATTTAATGGAGGTAGTTTTTCGGCCATTTCTAAAAATATAATTACGGTATAAGCGCATGTAAACACCAAAGAGTTCCTTATTATGTTACCTAAATTTTCCATACTCTGTGTTAATAGTGCTTCAAATGTATGCAAACTATAACTCTCAGCATCCATACCACGTGCTAAAGTATTTCGTAAGTGCATTTCATATTCAAGTAAAAGTCGACTAGTTGGTGAACCTGGAGTACTTGTTGCTTGATTATCGTGTTTTTGATAACGTCCTATAGTTTAAAATAAGGAAATACATATCAATATTATCATAGGTCATATATTAACTTGTCTTTGTCCTTTTACTAAATCAATATTCTTTTAATTAGCATTTCATTTTTACAATATGATAACTATTATCATTTTTTGCTATTTATTTAATTATGCCCACTTTTTATTATACGCGTCAAACAATATTTCAAAAGTTCTATAGCAAGTGAAATATCTCTCTTAGCTTTTACTGTATTCACATGTGAAGTAAACTACATTTCCAAGAAAACGTCATACAATATCTGTAGCTAATTTATTTTCAAAATTTCTGGATACCACAAATTTCTCAAAATCTGTGTAATGATACAGTTTCGAGTCGAAGAATAAATTGAAATAGGTAATGCGTCACGAGATAAATCATAAGTCGAAATTGTGAACATTATAATTTAAACGGTATCAATACATAAAATTATATTTAATATTATTTTGGAGATATATGAAAACAATTTATTCGATAAAATGTATTCAGAGTGAATAAATATATTTATTAATTTTTAAACTTTTTTTCTAAGGATCTTAAAGAAATATCTCACTCCTTGGTTAATGTGGTATTTTTAAATTTTCTTAATGAGCATTTCTCAAATTTTATCGCTGTTTATACAGATGGATCACTCTCTCCCTTTTCTGCTAGCTATGCTTTCCAGATATATTCAAGATTTACATGTCTCTTTTACAAATAAATTCACTTCATCCCCTTCATCTTCTTCCTTCTCGGCGGAGTGATATGTCATTATTGAAGTCTTAACACTAATTTTAAATTTTGCTCCAAATAACTATTTAATAGCCTCTGACTCAACATTATGCCTTCAAGCCTTAACCTCTAACCCATTCAACTCACGTCTATCACCACTGGTTCTTCGTATTAGGTCACTTATTTCTATTTAAATAAATTATTATTATTATTATTATTTATTTACAAATATACAAAATATTACATAAAAATAAACATATTACATAATATAGTGTACAATGTTAATGGGCCTCACTGAGCAAGCTCGTGTGGAGGTCCATGATTAAATTAAATTATAATATTCACTTCCTTTGGATTCTCAGTCATACTGGAATAATTGGCAATGAGATTGTTGATATACCAGCCAAATCCATTCTAATAATATCTGCTTTTATTTTACTCGATTTCCTAAGTCTGATTTTTCCCCTTTGATAAAAATATACATTTTCAATCTATGGTACTACCACTGGAATAACCTACCTACGAGTATCGCCTCGAGATAAAAATATTACTCCAAATATCCTTAGACAAACTTGGTTCAATAATTTACTTTTGCGTAGACCACATAATGTCTAATTTAATAGTTTACCTAGTGGACACAAACTATTATCTAGTCACTCATTTAAACTCGACCGAAATGACCCTCCATTCTGCACACTTAATTTAAATTAATGTATCTGTAACCTTCCACATATTTTATTTGATTTCCCTGCTTCACGGGCTTTACCATTTGTTTTAATCTCCACTTCAAATTCAATTCAATATCTTAAAATATTATAAAAATTATAGTCACTTTTATTTTAGAAGCTGGCTTTAAAATATAAAATACTTGTAAATTATATTCCTTGTAAATGTAATTTGTAATCGTTGAGCTATCCTAGTATTAAACTAGTAGCTATAAAAAAAAATAATAAAAATAAATATATTTAATACAAAATCTATATAGATATGAAGTTAAGCAAAGTTTATTGCAAATTATTTTGTTATTATCAATAATCCTTATTTTCTTATATTGCTTGGTGGGTATCAATGTATGTAAATTTTCATTAGTTTGTCGCTGTTATAAATAGGCTAAGAAATATTACTTTATTGTAGTATATGAACACAGCCCTAAATTAATTTTTCTACCTAATGACCATCCGGTCCAGCATGCTTTTTATTGGTCATGCATACGGACCTGATGTGCCTTTATTGTTACTCTGATCCTGGTCGGAATTACCATTGCTTGAGCTAGGTGTAGTCGCATAACATTGATTATCAAACATAGCGTTATCGGATAGTGGCGAAGCATCTCCAGCTGGAGTAGGTCGTCCATTTCGATCTAGTTCTAAGTACAGTCCTCTGGGGTCTCTTACTTGACCATTTCGACCAATGTCATATGATGAGCGGGAACCTAAATTAAAATAATAAACGAAAAACCAACAAGCAAATTATTATAATTAAATTTCTTTCAGATTCAAATTTGTTGATGACCTTACCTGAAGTATTAAATCTAGAATTTCTATGTTTAACATTCGATTCCGGTTCTGATAATGATTGCCTTGGACATTGTGGTATAGGGGGTGTCATTGTAGATACTGGTGGTGGTTGATGGTAATAACTATAACCACGTCTTCGAGTCATTTCTGGTGAAGTAACAGGACTTTCTAACGACGGCATTGGCTTTAATGTGCGTTTCATTGTTCCCATATCTGAATAATATTCAAAGAATTATCATACTTCATTTTTATAATATATTTAAGTAAATATTCCATAAGTTCAAATAATCTATACATTAAAAAACAATTTTATCTAAAATATATATTATTTATTTTCTTCATTACTAAATTGATACCTACTTCAACTTAACTAAACCAAAACTAGTTTAGGTTAGGTTAGCTACTTCCTATTTTATTTCAAAACTAATCAAAAGACTTTAATCTCCAGAATATTATTTCCAAGTTGATAGTAAAATTTTATCAGTATATTAAAGAAACGTAAATTCAGTTGAAAATCATTTTTATAAACTTAATAATAAACTTACTATCTCTATATCGGTAGTCGTCTCTATATGTTTTATTTTGATTTCGTGGATTTTTCGTTGTTGTCGTTGGTTTAAATAAGTCTGACTCCACGTACCCTTCAGAATAGTCTTTAGAAGACATTCTTGGAGTACATGTCCCCGTGGTAGACGTAGTCTTAGCACCGATTGTTTGTACTCCTTCACTTTTATAACTTTCCTGTTGACCCTATACAGAATATTTTTACAGGATTTTACTTTAAATTAACCAAAATATTTATATTAATTTACCTGTTCTGTTTGTGACCCAGTTCCAGTGATATTTAATTTCCCACCGGGCGTGGCAGTTTCTCTGTCTCTCGTGTTTGAGCTTCGGGATATGGTCTGTTTGGACGTATCTTCAAGTACTGCCGTTTTATCAGCTTCCGATGGTCCATCTCCAAGTGAAATTTGTCGAGTGTGAGAACGCGGTAAAGTTGAAGCTAAAAACGAAAATTAATTATGTACATTATATGTTCCAGTAATAGTTTAAAATTGTAATATAAATTAATTAAAACAACGAACATCTTTCTTTATTGTATCTTGGATCTTGCGCCCTAAGCCTATTAAATTGGTCAGCTGTCATACAAGTACATTGTGGCTCTCTCGATCTGCTTGGTGATGTTGGTGTTGATACCGGTTTCCTTCTTACCTTTGTATTTTGCCTTTTCGAAGTATCTAATTTTAATGAATACGAAGAAGACGATTTCCGAGACAATTTCACAGTTGGAGTCTAAAATATATCAATGAAGATTAGTTTGATTTTATGAAACGATATAAATTTACTTACACAACATTCTTTAAATTGTTTAGCATCTATTGGTGATGTAAAATTTAAGCCCCAAGTATCATTACTATGTGGTTCTTTCCAATATGCAAAACATTCTGAAGCTAACCCTATTTTTGTGCCTGAAATTACATTTAATTGTATTTATTAGTAATGCAACACAAAAAAAACTTCAAAAAATTTTAAAAATGTAGTAACATGCCTGGCTGAACCAGACGAATATCCATGATTTTTTCCACTTGGCTGTTGTAAGCAGTAATATGAAAAATATACTCTGGTCCATCTTGTAAGCATGTAATATTTACAGGAACGAGATCTTCTGATATTTGTTGCCATTTTATTTCTTCTCCTTTGGCACTCACGTGAAATACTTCGGCCCATAATCTATAATTATATTTAGATAGTTCATAAATAATAAGATTAAAAATGTATTGTAAAATTACGTGAAATATAAAACGTTTTCTCCACAAGTTTTTTTTTTTTTTTTTTTTAATGCAATAAACTTTGAACAGAGTTTAAATAGTAAACGCCAAGAAAAATATAATACATTTAGATTTAAAATTCGTTCTTATATGCTAAACTTAGTTTATTTTTTTTAAATTGTATTCATATATATTTCTCAATCTATACAAAAATGTCATTTATTTTCATATTAGGAAACTATAAAAAAAAATTATTTATAGTGGTAAAACCTACTATATAAAAATTAATTAATTATAACCTAATTAGATCATTTATGAGATTACATAAATTAATATATTTGATACAGTAAAAATGTATCAAGATATTTTAATAATAAAATTGTTATCTATTATCAATTAAAAAAAATTAATCCAACGTTTCTTACAAACTATAGTAATATACTGTCTATATTATTTTCTAAGTATAATATTATATATTTTTTTATATACTTATGAAAGTTCGGATTTATAGGTATTCAAAAAACGAAAATAAGTATAATATATAAATGTATTAAAAAAATTAAAATATGGAAGTTTATAAAAAATACAATTTATATAATTAATCCTTAGAATATTGATTGCATAAGATACCAAATACTAGTGCTCTGCACGGTCTGGTCTGTATCAGTCCGGTCTTATCGAATAAAAATAGGTGAAAGATCGGTTCAGTCCAAATCAATATTTTTTTGAATAATTTTGATCCGGTCCTGGTTTAAACTATAATAATTTAATTTCGGTTAAGTCCGATTTCTTAAATATAATCCCGATAATCCGATCGGTTCCGATTAGTTTAAAATGAACGGCTAATATTACGGCTTGTTTCAAATCTAATATCTATTGAACAATGATTTAAAATTATAAAGACATTATTTATAAAATTAATAACACGAATATTATCATTATGGCCCATGGGAATCAGTATTTTACCCTAGCACCGTTATTTTATATTAATTGTATGTACTACCTAGTATATTATATATATCTCAAAGCTGTTCATGGTACCTATTGGCTATTAATAATTTATTATCGAACATATTTTCAAGAAAAATTATTATTGTTCTCGTTATGGTGCAGGTAACATGGAATATTGTGAAAGTGCCACGCCACGCCGCACCATCCAAATATATAATTGTATACAACTGCCAATGAAATACTCGTACATTATGATCTTGGTTTATATTAATTATAGTTTATCTATACATTATTTTGAGGAAACGGAGATTGGAAATGAAATGTGCACTTCTAATTTCTTTCCATTCTTGTCGATGATGTCTGTGAACGGTAATACTTGGAAAATAATCGATTAGCCGGGCCAGATAACAAGTAGTTTGATATTTTCACGTTATTTTTAAAAACAAATTATATGTGTCATATTTTCGTATAGATTATTAATAGTTTTGATATTGTTATTTATTACCATTTTAATTTGTGAACTTTATTATTTAAGATTCGTGTTACAACTCGAGTATAGTATAGTGTAGTATATATATATATATATTATATCTAATATACCTATACTTAAATATAAATTTACTATAGTCTATTTTTATGGTGCAATATTTTTTTAGTTTGGATTGTTTGTCCACTCTATCATATTATATTATACTTGGGATCTTGTATGGTAGAAAAAAAAATAGGTCCGCAATCCGGTCCGAAACCTTTTACAGTCCGAAATTTATTAGTTCGGACCGGCGGTCCGGTCTCGGTTCACTCTAACAAATTATTTTAAATTTTCAGTCCGGTCCGGTCTAAATTTAAATGTAGCTATCGGTTCGGTCTGACGTAGGTTTTTTTTAACATTTTCAGTCCGGTCCAGTCCCTAAAATTACGGACCGTGCAGAGCACTACCATATACATACTCAAATTTTCTAAGTTTAATGTTCTACGGTTTGGTCTGTATTTGGTAATACTTTGATAAAAATCCATTTAACGATTTTTTTGCAACTTGAAGATTGGTATATCTGCACATATAAAAGCTCAAGCAAGATCAAAATTAGGTAACAACTTTGTAGAACCTAAAGATGTGACGCATGCAAAAAATTGCTTTAATTAAAATGTTATTTTCTTTATTTTTGGTGGTCCCTATAAGTTCTACAACTAAAAATTATTGTACAATTGAAACATATTTTTCACACCCAAAACGATACAAAATCTCATAATCGCTATGAAAATGAAGAAATTATTGCGCATGCTTGTTAGTTTTTCCCCTTCTAAATGCTACTTTTCTATATGTACTTTAGGCATAGTTAAAACATTAACAAAGTCAACTCTAAATTATGCGTCTACACACAATACCTAGTTATTGCAAATACTGCGATATAACACGACACAAATACACACGACACATTCATTAAGTTATAGTAGTCTTGTGAATGTACTGCTTACTGTCAGTACTCCAACGTAGTTTAGGACACATTAAAAAAAATGCTTGTTATTCTTTGATATATTATTGATGACCATATATCTAGATCGTAAAATCCGATAACCTAATCCGATTTCCACAATAAATTACATTTAATGACTGGTATTATTTTTGCACGTACTTTTAGAAAAACACGATATTGACATCAAATTACTAAAAGATTATACAATTGACAAAATTTAAAATCGTATTTATCAAAATTGTGTAATGTGTAAGAAAAACATAAAATGAATGAGAAATTATGTAAAAATAAGCTTTTATGGAGAAACTTGTACAAATATGTAATATTATGTATGGCTCATTTTACAAATAATTTGAAACGAAATTATCTTTTGTCTTACTTAAATCATTTAGTCATAGTTGGAATATGTGTATACATATAAATCTTAACTCTACTTATGATTAAAACCTTGGCTTCACACAACCATGTAATCTACAAGGAAAATCAATATAATTCACACAATAATAATCTTCTTTAATGTTAAATTATTTCATGTGCAATTGTTTTTTCTTCATTTTTAACTCCGCAAATTTGAATAATTTAAAAATGTTCAGAAATCTGTTTTGAGTAAATTTATCGTTTTGTTAAAATTTATTTATTTATTTGTTTATTTATATTTATAATAATAATATGATCTATACCACTTAGCATAAGTATAAGTGATAAAAGATAGAAAACATGATATACATGATTAAGAAGTCATCCATTAGTGACTTTTTGCTTGAGGAATGATCGGGGAATACAAGGTAAAACTAAATTCGAGGAGAAAGAAGGTTTGAGAGGTAAAATATCTCTGCACCATTTTCTTTTCAGTTGACGGCGATGATTATCGGTAAGTGTTAAGTTATTTAAGTTAATGATTAGTGGGCAATTATGGTTTGCCAAACGAAAGAATCGCTTATAAAATAATACAGATTCTTCTTCAATCGTTTTAACATGTAAATCATTGTGGAGCTTTAGATTTTAAATGTATGGCCAGAGCATTAATAAGTTGACGTAGATTAATTCTGGTAAGTTTGGATTTTATTTACATTCGATTTCTTGGCCGCACCCCACAGTTGAAGACCGTATGTCCAGATTGGTTTTAAAAATGCTTTAAAATGTAATTAATTAAATAAATATACAAACGTATTTTTATTTTTATTTTTTTTACTATTAGCAATAAACATAATACTAAAAGGTAGTAAAAGGAGTACGTATAAAAAAAAGTATATAATATTTTTTGTAAATTAATGAAATTTGACTAAAATTTTGATGAAAAATAATTTAAATTTTATTGCATATAAATTAACATTTGTGCAACATTCTTAAAAATTAATTTAATTATAAATTTTTTCGTTTGAATTTGATAACGATTACAGAAACTGATAAACATATTTTGTCCTTCAAATTATATTTTTTTATTTATGTGTTTACTTGTACCATTAGTAAAAACAACATAATTTCAAAACAATTTGTTTGTATTTTGTAAATGCATAATGTATTTTTATTTGTTCGACATTTAATGCTTAAATCTATTCTATACTTGTCAATTTAATTATACTGTTATAAATTATGTTATTTTACGCAAAATAATATACACTTGAATTAATAATTAAATATAATATGACAATATTCTACATAGCAAATAAAGTATTATTTATTATTTAATTTATTTAGAAGAATTAATTTCATCATTGGTCTGATATACGATCTAAGATATTATGAGAATTAAAAATTATTTCTTTGCTTTTAAATATATTTTTAATTTATTTTTTACATATATTATGATATTGAGAAAAATCACCTGAGAATATGACCATCTCTTCTTCTCGATGAGCTTTGAAAAGGTCCGGAAACATCATCGTATCTGTATGATTTTTTGATTAGAGGTCCGCAGGAGCTCAGTTTGTTGCCCATGTCCAACCCCTGCGACTGTTCTGGTCACCACCCTCCACCGTCCTCCCCCATTCTCTGTTCATAAGAAAAATATTAGACATTAGACAATTGTACTTATAATATTTAATTTAATTTATATTCATAAAAATTAAAAAATGAGTATGACAAAGTAGTTTCTATAATACCTATTTGGAAAATACTTCGAATTTACTTAACTAAAATATATAAAATACGAAAAGAAATATTGTTTTGATAGATTTAATACAAGTATTATTATATTATTAATTATATAAAATAATTCAAGTGTTTCATTTTTATCTAATGTTTTTACCATAACATTTTAATAATGTTTTATTTAATATAAGGCATTAATAGAGTATACAGTAATATAATCAATATGTAAATTATTTGAATTTAGTTCATAATCAAGACTAAAAGAATACAAACAACTGCACTCGTACAAATAATTATTCTTGAAAATATAATATTTTTCAATAATTAAATCGTAAGAATTAAATTGTTTAACCGTAAATTAAAATTGGATAAAAACAAAAAAGAATAAAAGATAAAATATTTGTTTTAAATAATAAATTTACTTTTTTTTGTCGATTATGATTAATTATGATTATGATTATGATTAATGTCATGATAAACTGAATATTTTATAATAATATAATGATCAGCTAATCAACTCTCTAATTTATTCATTTTTACAGATAATATTACTACGTATAAAATTTAATTATATTACTTATAGTCGATAAGTTGTGTTTTAAGATTATGATCGAAGTATTTAAGATTTATTGTCAATATAATTTTTATTCGAAAAAATATGACCCAATAGCGCTATGTTTATAAACCTCAGCCCTACGAAAAGGTCTGGCTGCTTTAACAACGCCCACGATCGATGGGGGTATATATGGCTCCCGTGACGTCACGGGAACATATCACGGTCAGGGCTACTAAACATTGTAGATACACTCATTCTTCTTACTTCGTAGTAATTTGTACACACGGTGTTCGTTACGATGTTCGCGACAAAACACACGCCGCGCACACACTATATGAACGAAAAAAAGATACAACCTACTGTCAAACATATATAGATATTATAATAATTGACTTAATAATTTGCATAAAAAGGGGAATGTTGCGTATTGTGTACACTTGAATACTTCATGTTCTCAACCAAACAGTCAATTTATATATATTGTTGTACACAATTTATAAATACGTAAGTATGATTTATGATAAAATTCACGAACAATGAATGCGGAAATATATATATATATATATATATATATATATATATATATATATATGATTCCACTATTCTAACAATTGGAAAATGACATATGAAGACATGACCGAATATTGACATATCGTAATATTATTATATATAATTCTAATAGGTCTGAAAACATATATAAAGGAAAAATTAATGTTTTAAAAAAAATTATACATTAAATCCATTTTATTTTTTACAAGCTTATGTTTCATCCATAAAATAACATTTTATTTTAAAGAATTTTATATGTATTATATTGACACCGTCAAAATTATAATATTAATTAAACTTCATTAAGTTACTACATACTGCACATAAAATAAATTACAATAATTTTCAAAATTATTTCCCCAGCATAAAATAAATTAGATCACTAATCTAGCATTAATTAGAAAAAGTTAGTATTTTTAGATTAACAATAATTCATCGTCGTATAAATTAAATGTGTGTATACATATATTATTCATCAGATTAAAGTAAAATGTATTATATTTTTCAACTCAGTAGATTATATTAATACAGTATGTAGAACTAATACAAGTGTAGTTGTATTTAACATTACTATTTATATCAACTTTTGAGTTCGCTAAAAAAACAGTATGAAATATTTCACATATAAAACATTGAATTTCAGTAAAATTTTATTTATTATTTTATTTTTTATGTTTATTAGTTTACTCATTATCAAGATAGTAAACAAGTTCTTACAATTAGAATAAATAATTATTATACAAAAATAAATTAGGAAAAACCAGATACATTAAGAAAAATAATATATGATTTAATAAATTATGATTTACACAGTTTTTTATACTAACAATTGCGTGTTTCAGTCTATAAAACTATCAATTAGCATTTTAAGAACTTTATAATTCAGGTTACAATATAAATTATTTAAATAAAACTATTTATTTCAGGAACTTCTTAATATAGTAGTTATATTTCTACTTATAACATAATGAAAAGTTAATTTAATTTTTGTATTAACTTAATTATTGTTAATTTTAACAAATCAATTATGTGACATTTTTTCTCAAATTTCTATAATATGCCATATATTTCTATTAGAATAATAGGTTAATTGTTAAAAATAGTAAATAATAATATTAAAAATAAAGATAGGAAAAGAAATCTTCCAGCAGAGGTGCTTCAATATGAATATTAATTAATGAAATAATGATACTAATAAATGAACAGTTATATAAATAATTAAATAAATAAATAGTAATTGCAAAGTAATAATAATAATAGTTGAGAATGTAATAAGTTTTTATTTTTTATATTAAATAAGCAAGGTACATCACAACTATAATTGTTGGGGGATTGAGGTGGTGAGTTAGTTTGCTATTTAATCACTAATAGTAGACTTAGACTCATTATTCTTCATTATACAATTTTCTAAAAATATTTTGTTACAACGTATCAAATAAATAAATTTCAAAAAATAATGCCCATAAATAATAATTATTACGTAAAGACTTAATCATACAAGATGTGACTAAAGGGCTACTTTTTCCTAAAAGATCCAATAATTTCCTTACTGACATACATAATAATATAAATATTATATTTCATAAATGTTTAAAGTTTTAATTAACATATTTCAGACCCATACATGTAGTAATTTACATTTTTCTATTTATACACTAATTCCACCGTTGATAAATTAATCAAGTGATATTTATTTAATATATTTATTTTATTATTCAATAATCATGACTGAATCATTTAAAGCATATAGATTCATAAATATTAATTAAAATAGTTAACTGATTAATTAATATTAGTTCAAACCACGAATATTTTTATGTATCATTTTTTATACTCCCACTAAAGTGATCAAGTATCCATTATAGTAAGTATAAATACCTATTTTTGTTAATTATTTAGTTTTTAAAAGAAATAAAAATAATAATGACTGCCTTCATTTAAAATCTGTAACCATAAATAATTTTCATTTGTTTTAATATACTATGAAATATTAAATATGTTTGGTTTATTTTTTGTAATTTTATTATATGTTATGCTTAGTAACATGAGCTTAAAAAATGTATTTTTTAATAATTAAATATTATTAGTACCAATTTTGTTCAATGTTCACAATGTATAATTTCTTGTTTATTTATAAATTCCACATAATTATTTACTATTTATATAATTTTAAATTTAACTAAAATAAATTAAATGATACTCATAAAAATATAATGAGTTTTGATTTTTAAATCTATGATATTATTAGAAAAATGTTTTCATTTATTGAGAAAATTCTTGAAATCTTATCTGAACTATGTATTGAAATTATATATTTTATTTAAAACTAATAACGTTTCCAGAAAATGAAAACAATAATTCCTATAATTAATACAAAATAATAAATATTTAAATCTATAATCATACGTAGTTTTAGATCGTACGAATTGTCAACAGTCAGTAATATATTAACATATTGACTATATATTGAACGGTTAAATTAAAATTTAATTTTCCTCCATACAAAATTTGAAGTTAATTATTTTCTTATATTACATGTATATGATACTTATGTGTTATTGCACAACATATTTGTAATTAATTACCCATGAATCTATATAAATAAAATCAGTATTTTCAAGATAATTATTCAAAATATTTTTACCTATAAACAAGTACTGTTAAAATATTTAAGCAAGGAATGGTTTAGTTAAATTTAAATAAAACTATTTAAAAACTGGAATGTTTTGATTTTTCATTTGTGAAAAATTATAATTACAATACTTTTTAACATTTCGTCGATGAAAAATTATTTTTAATTTGAAAATATTTAACGAAATGCTAATAAATATTTTTATATAAAGATTTGTTGTTTATTATAATATAGTTGTGACCTTCATTTAATTTTGATTTAATTTTATAAAAAATGTTATGTAAAATATATAAATAATATAAAATACCATTTAAATTACCTCATAATAATAATAATAATATCGAAATAAAAAATATAATTTGAAACGTTTTAATAAGTTACACTTATATAAATAAAAAGTATTTGGTAGGCTCTGAAGTATTTTTACATTTAATCAAAATAAATGAATTGCCAGTAATTTGTCAAATTTATTAAAATGTATTAAATATCGATCTGAAACTAATATATCATATATTACCTATATAAGATCTACTTTTTTTTTATTACTCTCGAATGTCAATGATAATAGTAATAATAAAAACAACTGCTTACTGAGAAATGTTGTTTAAAAAAAATAAAAAACGCAACATACTACTCCAGTGCAATGTTTATAATATTAATGTCAAATTACACGAAACCTAAAAGGTTATTCTGAAGAACCATTGAATATACCAGTGAAATTTTTCCTATTATTTTTGAAATAATAAAAAGCGTAATCCCGGAAAAGAGATGTATAAAAAACACATAAGATAGTGTTGGTATGAAAAATATATATCTTTAGTATGCTTTTGAAAACTTGTTGCTCGATAATTAAAACTGTACGCTTTGCTTTCGTTTCCCAAACAATAAAGTAGGTAGGTTTATTATATATGCTAAAAACACGAGACGATTTCGAAACTTTTATTACACAAAAGGTATACGAACCTATATGTATATATATATATATATATATCAAGTTAAATGTAAAGATTTATTATGTTACCATACGAGTAAAAGTATCGTAGATTTACGTAGACTCGTAGACAGTAAATAAATACATAGCGACCCCTGCGCCGTTCAAAAAAATCTTATAAATATATATATGGTCATAAACATGTACGCGCATCAATCGGATTAAAAATCCGT